CAGGATCAGGAATTATTTCAGGATAAGGAATTATTTAAGGAATTATTTCAGGATCAGCAATTATTTCAGGATCAGGATTTATTTCAGGATCAGGAATTATTTCAGGATCAGGAATTATTTCAGGATCAGGAATTATTTAAGGAATTATTTCAGGATAAGGAATTATTTAAGGAATTATTTAAGGATCAGGATTTATTTCAGGATAAGGAATTATTTAAGGAATTATTTTAGGATCAGCATTTCTTTCAGGATCAGGATTTATTTCAGGATCAGGAATTACTTCAGGAATTATTTCAGGATCAGGATTTATTTCAGGATCAGGAATTACTTCAGGAATTCTTTCAGGATCAGGATTTATTTCAGGAAGTGCCCCAGGTCCCCCAGAGCACTTTTGGGAAGCAGGAATCCCAAATGAATCCCATTTTTTTTGTGGGAAGTGGAAGGGGCTGTGATCCCAATCCCATTATCCATGTTTTCCATTATCCATGGAAAACAAAGCTGTGTTGTATCCAAGCCCTCTGCTCTGGGAGATCATGGAAAAGCATCCAACTTATTCCCTCTTCTCCTGCTTCTCCCAGATCCCAAATCCTCCTCCCAGCATTCCCAAATCCTCCTCCCAGCATTCCCAAATCCCTCCAGAGAGAAAATCCCTTCGGCCTTCTCCTCCCACAAAAAGCTTCTCCCACAAAATTCCCGCCTTTCCATGGAATTTGGGTGGGAAGGGAGCGGAAAAATCCTGGAATTCCAACCCTCCTTCCAAGGGCAGGGACATCTCCCACCATCCCAAGCTTTCCTTGGACACTCCCAGAGATTCTCTGGGAATTCCAGCCCAGCCAAGAATTCCTTCCCACTATCCCAAGGCAGTGGGAAACCATTCCCTGTTATCCCATCGCTCCAGGACTTTTCCAAAGTCCCTCATCCAGGAAAAACACGACATCCCAATGGATGGATGGATGGATGGATGGATGGATGGATGGATGGGTGGATGGATGGATGGATGGATGGATGGATGGATGGAAAACAATCCCAAAAATCCACCTGGAGCCACATTCCCAGCCCCACCACGCCCCCAAATCCCTGCCCCAACCATTCCCAAGGAAAAGGGAGCTCCAAATCCATCCCAAACATTCACATTCCAGGTGGGAAAAATCTTCCTGCCCACGGAATTCTCCCTATGGAACACGAGCTGGGAGCCACCAACATTCCAAACAGCATTCCCAACAACATTCCACACCCCTGGGAATGGCAGAGCAGCTCTGGAATTCTGCTCTGAGAATTCCCAAGCCAAGACAACCGGACAGGGATGCAAATTCCCGATTATCCCTCTTAATTATCCCTCTTAATTACGGCAGGTTCCATCAAATCAACCCCCCCTCCAAAATCAGACACGGAAAACGGGATGCAGGGAAGAGATTCCAGAGTTAATTCCCTGTTAACCTGGAATAGCCTCCTAAAGCACACCTGGAAATCCTGGAAAAGCACCTGAAAAACCCAAAGGAACGGCCTTAAAATTCCCTTTGGAATTTTGTGTGTGGAGGAGAAAGGAGGAGCCCAAACATTCCCATTAAATCCCTTTGGAATGTTCCCATCCCTACCTTCCTTGGTGGCCACCTGAGTGCTGGTGGGAATTGGGATCCTGCAGATGCTGTGCCTGGACACCTGCCCTGGGATTTTGGGAGAGGAGCGTTTGGGAAAAGCCTCTGGGAAAGGCAGGAACAATTCCAAGCTGGAAAAGCTCCCCTGGGAAAGAGGCAGGAACAATTCCAAGCTGGAAATTCCAAGCTGGAAAAGCCTCTGGGAAAAGCAGGAACAATTCCAAGCTGGAAAAGCCTCTTGGAAAAGTTGGAGAATTCCAAGCTGGAAAAACTCCCCTGGGAAAGGCAGGAACAATTCCAAGCTGGAAAATTCCAAGCTGGAAAAGTTTCCCTGGGAAAGGGGCAGGAACAATTCCAAGCTGGGAATTCCAAGCTGGAAAAGCTCCCCTGGGAAAGGCAGGAGCAATTCCAAGCTGGAAAAGTTTCCCTGGGAAAGGCAGGAACAATTCCAAGCTGGAAAAGCTCCCTCTGGGAAAGGCAGGAACAATTCCAAGCTGGAAAAGCTCCCCTGGGAAAGGCAGGAGCAATTCCAAGCTGGAAATTCCAAGCTGGAAATTCCAAGCTGGAAAAGTTTCCCTGGGAAAGGCAGGAACAATTCCAAGCTGGAAAAGAGGCAGGAGCAATTCCAAGCTGGAAAAGTTCCCTGGGAAAGGCAGGAACAATTCCAAGCTGGAAATTCCAAGCTGGAAAAAGCCTCTGGGAAAGGCAGGAACAATTCCAAGCTGGAAAAGTTTCCCTGGGAAAAGCAGGAGCAATTCCAAGCTGGAAAAGTTTCCCTGGGAAAGGCAGGAACAATTCCAAGCTGGAAATTCCAAGCTGGAAAAGCTCCCCTGGGAAAAGCAGGAACAATTCCAAGCTGGAAAAGTTTCCCTGGGAAAGGCAGGAACAATTCCAAGCTGGAAAAGCCTCTGGGAAAGGCAGGAGCAATTCCAAGCTGGAAAAGTTCCCCTGGGAAAGGCAGGAACAATTCCAAGCTGGAAAAGCTCCCCTAGGAAAGGCAGGAACAATTCCAAGCTGGAAATTCCAAGCTGGAAAAGTTTCCCTGGGAAAAGCAGGAACAATTCCAAGCTGGAAATTCCAAGCTGGAAAAGCTCCCCTGGGAAAGGCAGGAACAATTCCAAGCTGGAAAAGTTTCCCTGGGAAAGGCAGGAACAATTCCAAGCTGGAAAAGCCTCTTGGAAAAGTTGGAGAATTCCAAGCTGGAAAAGCTCCCCTGGGAAAGGCAGGAGCAATTCCAAGCTGGAAATTCCAAGCTGGAAAAGTTTCCCTGGGAAAGGCAGGAACAATTCCAAGCTGGAAATTCCAAGCTGGAAAAGCTCCCCTGGGAAAGGCAGGAACAATTCCAAGCTGGAAATTCCAAGCTGGAAAACTTTCCCTGGGAAAGAGAAGGAGCAATTCCAAGCTGGAAATTCCAAGCTGGAAAAGCCCTGGGAAAAGCAGGAACAATTCCAAGCTGGTGTTCCCAAATCCCATGGATCCTCCCAGGGATCCTGGAGCAGGAGGAAGAACATTCCAAGAATTCCACAGCTCCACAATCCCAGAGAGCAGGAAAATTCCAACAGAGGGAGCTGCAAATCCTCCCTCTGGAATTCCCAGGAAAACCTTCAGTTCAGGTGGATTCAACCCCAGAAATTGGATTGGATCCTAAGGAAGCAAATCCCAAAAATTCCCTGAGGAAATTCCAAGGCAATTCCCTGAATTCCCAGAAAAGGAAAAGCAGGAAGGACTTTTCCTTTGGCTTCCAGTCCTTTTGGGAATCAAATCCTGGAATATTTTTCCAGGCAGGGAAGCCAAGGAAAAGATCCCCAAGGAGCAATCACCGAGGGAATGTCGGGATTGGATGGAAAAATACCCGGATCCAGCTGGAAAATACCGGGAATTCCTTCCATGCTGGTGAATTCCAACTCCAATAAAGCAGATTTTATCCCATGCCAGGCTTGGATTTTATCCCAGATTTTATCCCATCCCATGGATTTTATCACCAAAATCCCCTGGATTTTATCCCAGATTTATCACCAAAATCCCCATGGATTTTATCCCAGATTTTATCACCAAAATCCCATGGATTTTATCATCAAAATCCCATGGATTTTATCCCAGATTTTATCACCAAAATCCCATGGATTTTATCCCAGATTTTATCATCAAATCCCATGGATTTTATCATCAAAATCCCATGGATTTTATCCCAGATTTTATCCCCAAAATCCCATGGATTTTATCACCAAAATCCCATGGATTTTATCCCAGATTTTATCATCAAAATCCCATGGATTTTATCCCGGATTTTATCATCAAAATCCCATGGATTTTATCACCAAAATCCCATGGATTTTATCCCAGATTTTATCATCAAAATCCCCTGGATTTTATCCCAGATTTTATCCCCAAAATCCCATGGATTTTATCATCAAAATCCCATGGATTTTATCATCAAAATCCCATGGATTTTATCCCAGATTTTATCATCAAATCCCATGGATTTTATCCCAGATTTTATCATCAAATCCCATGGATTTTATCCCAGATTTTATCATCAAATTATTTAAGGAATTATTTCAGGATGAGGAATTATTTAAGGAATTATTTCAGGATAAGGAATTATTTCAGGATCAGGATTTATTTCAGGATAAGGAATTATTTAAGGAATCATTTCAGGATCAGGAATTATTTCAGGATCAGGATTTATTTCAGGATAAGAAATTATTTCAGGATTTATTTCAGGATCAGGAATTATTTAAGGAATTATTTCAGGATCAGGAATTATTTAAGGAATTATTTCAGGATCAGGAATTATTTCAGGATAAGGAATTATTTAAGGATAAGGAATTATTTAAGGAATTCTTTCAGGATCAGGAATTATTTCAGGATCAGGAATTATTTAAGGAATTATTTTAGGATCAGGATTTATTTCAGGATAAGGAATTACTTCAGGAATTATTTCAGGATCAGGAATTATATTTCAGGATCAGGATTTTTTTCAGGAATTATTTCAGGATCAGGAATTATTTCAGGATCAGGATTTATTTCAGGATAAGAAATTATTTCAGGAATTATTTCAGGATCAGGAATTATTTCAGGAATTATTTCAGGATCAGGAATTATTTCAGGAATTATTTCAGGATCAGGAATTACTTCAGGAATTCTTTCAGGATCAGGATTTATTTCAGGATCAGGAATTATTTAAGGAATTATTTCAGGATCAGGATTTATTTCAGGATCAGGAATTACTTCAGGAATTCTTTCAGGATCAGGATTTATTTCAGGATCAGGATTTATTTAAGGAATTATTTCAGGATCAGGAATTACTTCAGGAATTCTTTCAGGATCAGGATTTATTTCAGGAATTATTTCAGGATCAGGAATTACTTCAGGAATTATTCAAGGATCAGGATTTATTTCAGGATCAGGAATTATTTCAGGATTTATTTCAGGATCAGGATTTATTTAAGGAATTATTTCAGGATCAGGATTTATTTCAGGATCAGGAATTATTTCAGGAATTCTTTCAGGATCAGGATTTATTTCAGGAAGTGCCCCAGGTCCCCCAGAGCACTTTTGGGAAGCAGGAATCCCAAATGAATCCCATTTTTTGGGGGAAGTGGAAGGGGCTGTGATCCCAATCCCATTATCCATGTTTTCCATTATCCATGGAAAACAAAGCTGTGTTGTATCCAAGCCCTCTGCTCTGGGAGATCATGGAAAAGCATCCAACTTATTCCCTCTTCTCCTGCTTCTCCCAGATCCCAAATCCTCCTCCCAGCATTCCCAAATCCTCCTCCCAGCATTCCCAAATCCTCCTCCCAGCATTCCCAAATCCCTCCAGAGAGAAAATCCCTTCGGCCTTCTCCTCCCACAAAAAGCTTCTCCCACAAAATTCCCGCCTTTCCATGGAATTTGGGTGGGAAGGGAGTGGAAAAATCCTGGAATTCCAACCCTTCCTTCCAAGGGCAGGGACATCTCCCACCATCCCAAGCTTTCCTTGGACACTCCCAGAGATTCTCTGGGAATTCCAGCCCAGCCAAGAATTCCTTCCCACTATCCCAAGGCAGTGGGAAACCATTCCCTGTTATCCCATCGCTCCAGGACTTTTCCAAAGTCCCTCATCCAGGAAAAACACGACATCCCAATGGATGGATGGATGGATGGATGGATGGATGGATGGATGGATGGATGGATGGATGGATGGATGCAAAACAATCCCAAAAATCCACCTGGAGCCACATTCCCAGCCCCACCACGCCCCCAAATCCCTGCCCCAACCATTCCCAAGGAAAAGGGAGCTCCAAATCCATCCCAAACATTCACATTCCAGGCGGGAAAAATCTTCCTGCCCACGGAATTCTCCCTATGGAACACGAGCTGGGAGCCACCAACATTCCAAACAGCATTCCCAACAACATTCCACAGCCCATGGGAATGGCAGAGCAGCTCTGGAATTCTGCTCTGAGAATTCCCAAGCCAAGACAACCGGACAGGGATGCAAATTCCCGATTATCCCTCTTAATTATCCCTCTTAATTACGGCAGATTCCAGCAAATCAAACCCCCCCCCCAAAAAATCAGACACGGAAAACGGGATGCAGGGAAGAGATTCCAGAGTTAATTCCCTGTTAACCTGGAATAGCCTCCTAAAGCACACCTGGAAATCCTGGAAAAGCACCTGAAAAACCCAAAGGAACGGCCTTAAAATTCCCTTTGGAATTTTGTGTGGAGGAGAAAGGAGGAGCCCAAACATTCCCATTAAATCCCTTTGGAATGTTCTCATCCCTACCTTCCTTGGTGGCCACCTGAGTGCTGGTGGGAATTGGGATCCTGCAGATGCTGTGCCTGGACACCTGCCCTGGGATTTTGGGAGAGGAACGTTTGGGAATGGTCCAAGTTTTTCCACGCGTGGAATTTTTCCTCCGGAGGTGGAAGCGGCTCCTGAGGGAGGTGCTGGGTGAGATGTTCCTCTTATCCATGGGAAATCTGGGAATGGGAAGGTCACACATTCAGCAGGTGGTTGGAATATTCCCAGCCTCCTTTCCCAAAGCTCCAGGGAAAAGGGAGATGTCGAATCCCACCAGGAATCTCTTCGGGATAAAGGGGAGAAGCTCTGAGGGGGAAAATTCCCGGTAAATTGAAGGGAATGGGAGGGATTTCCAGGCAAAGAACAGCTGGAAAAGGAGATGGGGGGTTGGAATTCCACGATTTTTCCACTCCCTTCCCACCCAACCCATTCCTCCTCCCTCTCCCTGCAATTCCACAGCCAGAATTCCCCCGGGATCCCAGGAGGGAAATCCCAAATTTGATGGTTAAATTCCTTCCTGGCTTTCTGATCGAGGGATGGAATCATGGAATTACAGTTGGAATTGCGGTTGGAAAAGAGCTGTGACGTCATCACCGCTTCCCACAGCACTCCCAAGGCCATCCCTGATCCAAGTGCCACATCCAGAGGGATCCCAAATCCCTGCAGGCCCACCCTGAGCAGCTTTTCCAGGAAGGAATATTCCCAATATCCCACTAAACCCCCCCCTGGCACAGCTTGAGGTCGTTCCCTCTCATCCCTGGGAGTGATCCCAAATCCCACCTGGCTCCATCCTCCTGCCAGGGAATTTTAGGGAGCTCTTCCCAATCCCTCTTTTCTCCAGGTTGAGCCTTCCCAACTCCCTGAGCCATTCCCGGTGCTCCAACCCCTTTCCCAGCTCCGTTCTTTTCCCTGGAAAAGCCCCAATCCCTCAATATCCTGGAATATCCTGGAATTCCCACACCTGGCAAGCCCAAAATCCCAGGATTTGAGGTGAATTCCCAACCCTGATCCCTCCCCTGATCCTGCTGGATGGAGTGGGGTCTCCAACTGCCCACAAATCCCAACATTCCCAGTTTTTCCCTCCCCCAGAGGGGTTTTCCCAGCACAATCCACTCCCAGAGAAAGGAGGGAAAGGTGAGGATGGAAAACCTGTGGGAAAACAGGAGCAGGAATCCAGGCAGCAGATTCCCAATCCATTCCATGGATCAATTTTCCAGGGAAATACCACAGATGGTGCTTCCCTCTGGAATGCTGAGCTCCCATTCCTGCTCCATCCCAGGGATTTACGATCCAAGAAACTCCTCCTGCTTTTCCAAGCCCCCCAAAAAAAGGAATTTTCTGGGAATTGGAAAAGAAATCCAATAAAATGCCGAGCCAGGAGCGGTCGGAGATCTCTGGGAATCACAGGAATCCAACTGGGAATTCCCAGCTCCAGGAGGATGTGGAGCTGCTGGAGGAATTCCAGAGGAAACCCTGGAGATGATCCAAGGGTTGGAGCCAGGCTGGGAGAGCTGGGAATGTTCATCTGGAGAAGGGAAACTCCAGGGAAAACTTGGAGCAACTTCCAGGGGCTCCAGGAATTCTGGATTTGGGATGAGGGCTGGAGGGATGGGACACAGGGAATGAATTCCCAGGGTTAGGGGGGATATTGGGATGGAATTCCTGGCTGGGAGGGTGGGGAGGAGGCTGGGCTGGAATTCCCAAAGAATCTCTGGTTGCTCCATCCCTGGAAGTGTCCAAGGAAAGCTTGGAGCAATCTGGGATAGCTGGAGATGTCCCTGCCCATGGCAGGGGTTGGAATTCCAGGATTTTTCTGCTCCCTTCCCACCAAACACATCCCATCATTCCATGATTTCCTATCCCTATCCAAGCCTGATCCTTGTGCTTCCACATCCTGGGCTATCCCAGCTTTTCCCTGTCCCATTCCCAGCCATCCCAGCCATCCCATCCATCCCTGATTTCATCCCCATCCATCCCTGATTCCATCCCTGATTCCATCCCCATCCCTGATTCCATCCCTGATTCCATCCCTGATTCCATCCCATCCATCCCTGATTCCATCCCCATCCCTGATTCCATCCCCATCCCTGATTCCATCCCTGATTCCATCCCATCCCTGATTTCATCCCATCCCTGATTCCATCCCCATCCCTGATTCCATCCCCATCCCTGATTCCATCCCCATCCCTGATTCCATTCCCATCCCTGATTCCATCCCTGATTCCATCCCTGATTCCATCCCTGATTCCATCCCTGATTCCATCCCTGATTCCATCCCCATCCCTGATTCCATCCCTGATTTCATCCCTGATTCCATCCCATCCATCCCTGATTCCATCCCTGATTCCATCCCTGATTCCATCCTTGATTCCATCCCTGATTTCATCCCTGATTCCATCCCCATCCCTGATTCCATCCCTGATTCCATCCCTGATTTCATCCCCATCCCTGATTCCATCCCCCCTCCCTGATTCCATCCCATCCATCCCTGATTCCATCCCTGATTCCATCCCCATCCCTGATTCCATCCCTGATTTCATCCCATCCATCCCTGATTCCATCCCTGATTCCATCCCTGATTCCATCCCTGATTCCATCCCTGATTCCATCCCTGATTCCATCCCCATCCCTGATTCCATCCCTGATTCCATCCCTGATTCCATCCCTGATTCCATCCCCATCCCTGATTCCATCCCTGATTCCATCCCTGATTCCATCCCCATCCCTGATTCCATCCCTGATTCCATCCCTGATTCCATCCCATCCATCCCTGATTCCATCCCTGATTCCATCCCTGATTCCATCCCTGATTCCATCCCATCCATCCCTGATTCCATCCCTGATCCATCCCTGATTCCATCCCCACCCATTCCACGACTCCACAAACCCCTCCTCCTCCCTCTCCCTGCAATTCCACAGCCAGAATTCCCCCGGGATCCCAGGAGGGAAATCCCAAAATCCCACTCACCCCACATTCCCTCTCCTCCTGATGATCTTGGTCCGACTCCTCACTTTGTAGGTGGAGATCGGAGCCTCTCCCGAGGATTTCACCGCGCCCGGAGCAGCCCCGGGAGGAGGAATTCTGGGAGCTGGGGGAAGAACACTGGGATGAGGAATTCCAGGAGTTGGAGGAGGAACAACAGGATGAGGAATTCCAGGAGTTGGATGAGGAATTCCAGGAGCTGGAGGAGGAATTCCAGGATGAGGAATTCCAGGAGCTGGGGGAGGAATTCCAGGAGCTGGGGGAGGAACATTGGGATGAGGAATTCCAGGAGCTGGATGAGGTTTTCCAGGAGCTGGAGGAGGAACATTGGGATGAGGAATTCCAGGAGCTGGAGGAGGAACGCCGGGAGTTGGATGAGGAATGCTGGGATGAGGAATTCCAGGAGCTGGATGAGGAATTCCAGGAGCTGGAGAAGGAACACCAGGCTGAGGAACGCCGGGAGTTGGATGAGGAATGCTGGGATGAGGAATTCCAGGATCTGGAAGTGGAACACCAGGATGAGGAACACCGGGAGCCGGAGTTTTCCGCTGCTCCTGGGATCTCCATCGGAATGCCGAGCCGGAATTGGAGGGCAGGGCCTGCAGGGTGGCCGCTTTCCATTTGTATTTGCTGGGAGAGGCCCCTCCAGGCTTGGACGGCATTCCCGATTTTTTCCCTTTGCTTCCCAAATCCGTCCTGGGGGTGCTTTTGGCTCCTCTTTCCGCCCCGCCCGGGCCTTTCCTGGGGCTCCCCCCCCACCTCCTTCCCAACCTCCAGCTTTTCCCGGGATTTGCCACCCAGGTGTAGCTGCCCCTGCGGAATTTGGGGGATTTTCCGGAGGTGGGAGCTTTGGGAATTCTGCCGGGAATTCCGCCGGGAATTCCACCGGGAATTCCGCTCCCTCCCATCCCAACGGAGGCCACCCCATCATTCCCAAAGAGTTTGGGATGCAGGGGAACATCCCGAATTTCCTCCTGGCTCTTCCCAGGGGGCGACAGCTCCGCTTTGACGACCCGGCCGGAATTCCCAGAATTCCCAGAATTCCCAGAATTCCTGGCCGGCTCCCGCTCCGCGAATCCCAAATTTTCCCGCGGCTCCGATTTCAGCGTCACGGCGCTTTCACTGCCAATTCCAGAGGGGGAGAAGAAGCCACTTCCAGCCCCAATCCCAGGCAGGCAAACGGTCCTGGATGTGGAACTAAAGGATATGGATAGGGAAGCTCTTCCCTCTTCTCCATAGGGAGATCCCGGAATGTTTTTCCCGCCGCTCTCCGGAGTTGTTGTTGTCGTTGCCGCCGCTTCCCGCCCGGAAAACTCCTTGGAATCTCCTCCATCTACAGCTCTCTGCTGCACCTGGATGTCCACCACGATATTCCCGTCCCTGGTGAAATCCACGTGTCTCTCTGGTGACGATTCCGGAGGTTCCACGGCCGGGATGTCGCCGGAATTCCCGAAAATCCGGGAAGCGCTTCCGGCTTCGGAGGCTGAGCCGGGCAGCCGGTTATCCAGGGAATATTTCTTCCTCCAGGAGTGGAAATTCCTGGGGGGTTGGAAATTCCTGGGAAAGGCTCCCCCCCCTCTCTGGTTGTAGGAGCTGCTCCGGGGGTTGTTCCATCTGGGAAGAGGGCGCGGAGAATCCCCGTGGATGTTCCGGTGGCTGTTGATGAGACCTGGGAAAAGAGGGAGAGACAGAGGGGGTGAATCCCAAATCCCACGGGAATTTGGGAGTGCTGGGTTTGGAGAAATCAGGGGGGGAGGGAAAGTTATGGAATTGTGGGATGGTTTGGGTGGGAAGGAGGGGGAAATCATGGAATTGTGGGATGGTTTGGGTGGGAAGGGAAAGTTATGGAATTGTGGGATGGTTTGGGTGGGAAGGGAGGGGGAAAATCATGGAATTGTGGGATGGTTTTGGTGGGAAGGGAGGGGGAAAATCATGGAATTCCAAGCTTCCTGTTGTGGGTAGGGATGCTTCCCACTTTTCCAGGTTGCTCCAAGTGTTCCCAGCCTTGGATACTCCCAGGGATCCAGAGATTCTCTGGGAATTCCAGCCCAGCCTCTCCCCACCAGGAATTCCATCCCAATATCCCACCTATCCATGGGAATTCATTCCCTGTTTCCCAACCCTCCTGCCATTCCCAAACATGGGATTGGTGAGGTTGGAAAATCCCGGATCCCACGGGAATTTGGGAGTGCTGGGTTTGGAGAAATCAGGGTGGGAGGGAAAGTTATGGAATTGTGGGATGGTTTGGTGGGAAGGGAAGGGAAAATCATGGAATTGTGGGATGGTTTGGAGGGGGAAAATCATGGAATTGTGGGATGGTTGGGTGGGAAGGGAGGGGAAAATCATGGAATTGTGGGATGGTTTGGAGGGGGAAAATCATGGAATTGTGGGATGGTTTGGGGGGGAAAATCATGGAATTGTGGGATGGTTTGGGTGGGAGGGAAAATCATGGAATTGTGGGATGGTTTGGGTGGAGGGGGGAAAATCATGGAATTGTGGGATGGTTTGGGTGGGAAGGGAGGGGAAAATCATGGAATTGTGGGATGGTTTGGGTGGGAGGGAGGGAAAATCATGGAATTGTGGGATGGTTTGGGTGGGAAGGGAGGGGAAAATCATGGAATTGTGGGATGGTTTGGTGGGAAGGAGGGAAAATCATGGAATTGTGGGATGGTTTGGGTGGGAAGGGAGGGGGAAAATCATGGAATTGTGGGATGGTTTTGGTGGGAAGGGAGGGGGAAAATCATGGAATTCCAAGCTCCTGTTGTGGGTAGGGATGTTTCCCACTTTTCCAGGTTGCTCCAAGTGTTCCCAGCCTTGGATACTCCCAGGGATCCAGAGATTCTTTGGGAATTCCAGCCCAGCCTCTCCCCACCAGGAGGTTTGGGTGGGAAGGGAAAGTTATGGAATTGTGGGATGGTTTGGGTGGGAAGGGAAGGGAAAATCATGGAATTGTGGGATGGTTTGGAGGGGGAAAATCATGGAATTGTGGGATGGTTTGGGTGGAAAGGGAGGGGGAAAATCATGGAATTGTGGGATGGTTTGGGTGGGAAGGGAAGGGAAAATCATGGAATTGTGGGATGGTTTGGGTGGGAAGGGAGGGAAAATCATGGAATTGTGGGATGGTTTGGGTGGGAAGGGAGGGGGAAAATCATGGAATTCCAAGCTCCTGTTGTGGGTAGGGATGTTTCCCACTATTCCAGGTTGTTCCAAGTGTTCCCAGCCTTGGATACTCCCAGGGATCCAGAGATTCTCTGGGAATTCCAGCCCAGCCTCTCCCCACCAGGAATTCCATCCCAATATCCCACTTATCCATGGGAATTCATTCCCTGTTTCCCAACCCTCCTGCCATTCCCAAACATGGGATTGGTGAGGTTGGAAAATCCAAGCCCAACATTCCCACTGCACTTCCAGAGCCTGCTCCACATCCATAGGGATAATTCCCCTCGGGAATGAGGACTCCCAGTGCTTCCCAACCCTTCCCAGCATGGAATATTCCCAATATCCCACCTGAGCCTGCCCTGGCTTGTTCCCTCTCATCCCATGGGATTGATCCCAAATCCCACCCAGCTCCCCTTTCCTGCAGGGAATGAGAAGATCCCTCCAATCCCAACTTCCCAATTCTCCAGCCCCTTTCCCAGCTCCAAGACTTTTTCCCAGCATTCCTGGATCTTCTCCCTTCTCTTCATCCCTGGAATTCTTGGCTCACTTCCCTCTTCTCCCAAAATTCCTGGGTCTTCTCCCTTCTCCTCCTTCTCCCAAAATTCCTGGATCCTCTTCCCTTCCCCCTTCTCCCAACATTCCTGAGTCTTTTCCCTCTTCTCCCAACATTCCTGGGTCTTCTCCCTTCTCCTCCTTCTCCCAAAATTCCTGGATCCTTTTCCCTTCCCCCTTCTCCCAACATTCCTGAGTCCTTTCCCACCTTCTCCCAAAATTCCTGGGTCTTCTCCCAGAACTCCTGGATCCTCTTCCCTTCCCCCTTCTCCCAAAATTCCTGAGTCTTTTCCCACCTTCTCCCAACATTCCTGGGTCTTCTCCCTTCTCCCAGAACTTCTGGATCCTTTCCCTCTTTTTCCCAGCATTCCTGGGTCCCTTTCCCTCTTTTCCCAGCATTCC